CGCTATCATCTATCTACATTTTAATTAAATATTAATTGCTAATATTTTTTTTTTTTATGGTTAATCAAAACTTGCATTAAGCACTAGGGCTTGCAACAGCAAAAACCCCTCTCAAAGTCAACAAAAAAGCATGTAGCTATACTTCTCTATACATCAACTCATATCAAACCCTATCTATACAAAATATTAGTATACTTCAAGATTGCCTGCTCGCCAGGATCCACTTTGCCTCTTCCTCAATTCGACCCGCCAATCTGCCTGGGGGACAGAACACTCCATCATGCGCACACCTACAGCGTTCACGCCAAATATAGCTCACGCACATGGACCATTTCAGTCGACCCTCACAGCATCCATTAGAATTCCCAGCCCACTGTCTGATTGCCCACTGCATTTGGTCTTGCCATGTAGAACATTCAGGGAACCTGCAAAATTTAGACAACACAGCAGCAAAAACACTTCTGCCATAAGCACAACCTGAGAAGAGATGGTCTCTCGATTCAATCCCACCAGGGCATAGTCCACACGTGCTGTCAACAGTTAATCCCCAACTCTGCAATTTATCCTCAGTAGTTATCCGATTAAGATGCACTAGCCATAACAATAGGCTATGCTTCGGGCTGAATGGCTTCCCCCAGACCACTTTGTACCAGTCAACCTGTGCCTGGGCCTCTCTAATGGATTTCCACACCAGCTTCACAGAATACCTCGGCAGAATCCTGTTATCCCATGCAAGAGTTCCCCCACTGCCTGATATATGAGCCTGAATTCCCTCTCTACTCTTCAAAATCTTCCTCCATATCCAGGTCCCTGCTGATTGCCCTTGAACTTCCCATATAGACCTTGTTTTCAACCTATACTTTCTCACCCAAGCAACCCAAAGCGACCCAGAACCTGCCAACAGATTCCATATATGGCGTATCACACAAGCTTGATTCCATCTCTTAAAGTCTCTTATCCCCAGCCCTCCTTCTCTTCGAGGCAAAGCAACAAATTTCCATGCGACCAATGCCCTCTTTCTCAAACTTCTGTCTCCCACACCCCACAAAAAATGATTACACATATTCTCAATTACTTTTAATAGCTTTTGAGGCAGCAAAAACAGGGCCATCCAATATTGCATAATGCTAGCTATAACAGAAGACACTAACTGCAATCGACCAGCATAGCTAAGTTTCAGAGCTTGCCATGTACTAATTCTCTTTGTTATCCTATCAACCAGCACAGAGCAATCAGCAGAAGTAAGCTTACCTGATATGAGGGGAACACCCAGATAACGAACTGGCAGACTACCAAGGGGAAAGCCAGTGACACTTGATATCCATTGCTGCTCCTCAACAGGAGTGCCACAGCAAAACAGTTGACATTTGGAAGGATTACAACGGAGGCCTGAATCTCTATAAAACTGATCTAACACTCTATTAATCCCTGCCACACCCCTTATCGACCCATTTGTAAACACTAGGAGATCATCTGCAAAACACAGATGAGTGATCTCAAGTGACTTACAACGTGGGTGATAAGGAACCTGATTATCTAACGCTGCCCTCTGAATTAAGCAAGAGAAATACTCCATCGCCACAGTGAACAAATATGGGGAAAGGGGATCCCCTTGTCTAAGGCCCTTCCCAGCAGAGAAATAGCCACATAGACCACCATTAAACGAAACACTGAGCTTAGGGGTAGTTATACAAGCTTCAATTAGACGAACATAAGAGTCAGGGAACCCCATAGCAAGCAGCATGTTTAATAGAAAAGACCAGTTGACTGAATCGAAAGCTTTCATTAGGTCTATCTTCAAAACACATCTAGATGTGGTGTTCTTTTTATGGTAATCTTTCACCAATTCACTAGCCATCAATATATTGTCACTTATTAACCTTCCTTTGATAAAAGCAGACTGAGATTTGCCTATCACCAAAGGAAGAACAGCTGCTAGCCTATTTGAAAGAAGCTTTGATATGCCTTTATACAGCACATTACAGCATGAAATGGGTCTAAAGTCTTTCATTTTATCAGCATTTGTGACTTTGGGAATAAGAGAGAGGATGGTAGAATTCACCTGTGTTGGCATTACCCCTGTATGAAAGAAATCCAGAACAACCTCCTCCACCAGACAGCCAATTACTCCCCAGTCAGATTTGTAGAATTCTGCTGTGAAGCCATCTGGCCCAGGGGCCTTATCATTGGGCATTCTTTTAAACACCTCCCTAATCTCTTCTCTAGTGACTGGCTCTAACAGCACCTGTACCCCCTCTGAGCTAAGTTTCTGCCTTAATTGATTCTGGAAGTAGACAACTGAATTACCCTGAACTGCTCTATCAACCTCCCCTAATAACTTCTTGTAAAACTCAACTGCCACCTCCCCCATTTGCTTTACCTCTGTAACTTCTGTATTATCATCTTTTACTAACTTCATGATCGTCTGCTTATGATTCCTCACCCTCACCATGGCATGGAAGTAGGCTGTATTTGCATCCCCCTCCTGAATACTTCTTATCCTTGACTTCTGCCTGAAGAAACCCTCTTCTGCAATCTGAATATCATGGCATAAGGCTGCCAACTCAGCCTCCTTCCTCACATTTTCTATAGTAGGATCCTGGAGAACTAGCTGCTGTTGATTCTCAAGAGCCTGCTCTGCCTCTCTAGCCCTCACAGATATGTCAGAGTACTCAGATCGATTCAATTTCTTCAACCTGTCTTTTAAACGCTTCAACTTATAGTAAAATTGCTGATATGGGAGACCTCTTGCATCTCCCCCCCATGCCTCACTTAATAAACTCCCATACTGTGGATGCTTCTGCCAGAATGTAAAATACTTAAAAGGCTTTGGGATTGAGCCCAGTTGTGGTGCCAATTCAATCACCAGACCACAATGATCTGATACTCCTGGTGCAATCGTTCTGGCTACACTCTGAGGAAAAGAAGCCAACCATTCCATATTGACAAGGAATCTATCAAGCTTCTTTGCTATTGGATTTGCCAGCTGCTTATTCCACCAGGTGTAGTGCGAGCCAAATATCTTGTGATCAGTAAGATCCATGTCCCTGGCCCATCCTCTGAAATCCAGACCCCCCTGACTCATTACCTCAGCATTCGAAGCTTCTGAAACATCCAAAACAGCATTAAAATCCCCCATGTAAACCCCAGGTTCCCCCACCACTTTATACTTCAATAACTCAGTGTATAATTCCACCCTTTCACTTGCTTTATTCGGGCTATATATAGCTGTGACAATACAATTAGAAGCCCCTTCAACTCTAACTTGAATAAAATGCTCCCCCATCTGAATTTTCGTAACCTTCATACTTGACTTCCAGAATAACCAAACCCTTCCTGAAGCTGAATATGCATAATTATTTAAATGCTGCCAATTACTAAACTGACGCTGAACAATATCCCTTGCATTCTTCTCCAAAACTCTAGTCTCTAATATAGCAGCAAAATCAATACCCAACTTTATTAACTGTCTATTTATATATCTATGTTTCTCAGAGGCATTAAAGCCCCTGAGGTTCCAGCTCAGCAACTTCATTTGTTCTTCCTACCCCTCCCCTTCTTAGGAGGTCCTCGATCAACCATAGCATGCCCCTGAGCGTTTAATGGAACCCTAGACTGAACAGCAGAAACTGGAATCTTAAGTGCAGAGTCATACATAATCCCTTTCCCCTTCCTTGTAACCAGTTGGAACCCATCCTCATCTATCAACTTACCTGACCCAGCATAAGAGCTTGTAGGTGTGACATCCTTCCTACCAGGCCCCAGCCCACTTTCAACGTCAGCAGTGGTCTGTTCAGAATCAATTGCCTGCCCTGCAGCCCCCTCAATTGTACCAGCCAAGTCAGAACCCAAATCCCCATTATTTGAGGTAACAACTTCACCCTGCTTTTCAGAATCAAGGCTAGGACCTATCTCATTAGACCCTCCCCCCTTTCCTGATTCTTCCCCAGTAGTAACCAGAACCGAGGTCTTAGAATTTACAACCCAGGCCACTTCACTTGTCATTGCCTCTGCCCTCACAAAATCCCTACTAGCAGCAATCTGCACAACCTTACATTCCTTACCCTGACCCTCACAATGCCCAAACTCACTGCACTGCTTGCACACGGATGGAACTCGAAGATACCGAACATCCAGAGACATTGGATCATCCCCCTCAGGTGCAACACTGATTGTAGCTGGAAATTCAGAATCAGCAGAAATCTCCACGCAAACCCGAGCTACACCCGCCTGCGCCCCACTCAGAGTAGCTTGATCCATCCAGAGTGGCCTCCCAATCAGACTGGCAATCCTGCTCAGCCCTTCCTCTGTACTATATTCAAGCGGCAACCCACTGATACGAACCCAGATCGGGAGAGAACTCAAATTCACCCTCACAGCTTGAATACCTGGAACCCATCGTCGAAGGAAGAGGGGGTTGTTGTCATAATGCCACGGACCATTCTCGAAAACCCAGGTACTAGTCTCCGGATCCGAAAATTGGAAGAGAAAGAGTTGCTCTCCGAAATGAGAAACCGTAATCCGACCATCACGGCCCCAGAATCGACGAGCCCAGCGCCTCAATAAGCCTATCTCCGGCGCCGACGAGAGAAATTGCCCTACCAGAGCATGCTTCCATCGAGCGGCTCCTTGGTCTCTCACAGCACGCGGAATGACCAGCGACCCATTCACCACCTCCGGCGCCACATATTTCAGCCGATTAGGCTCCCCCACACCGAACAGCTGCGCCCAGTTAGCAGGAGCGCCCTGCGCGGCGGCCATCGGCCTCCTTCTCGGAACCCTAAAACTCAGAGAGAAAACAAAAAACTTTTTTTTTTCCAGCGCTCAAACAAAAGCAGTTGTAATGAGTCCTATTAATTGCTAATATTAACAAATACGTATATAAAATTTTGTTAGATAGCATTTTAGTAATTTACATGTTCTGAACGTCACATCCCAAATTAACTCGACCATTCCAAAAGTCATAATCCAAGGTAAGGTAATTTTAGCGTCACCGCATTGGTGACAAAGAACTCAATGATAAACCCTGAATATAACAATCCAGGAGACAGGCAGACAGCAATGAGGGTACAGGTTCTACAACGACAGAGAAAAGCCAATCTGCGAGTTCCTAAACATCCTCAGACCGAGACAATCACTCAGAATGAATCACCTCAATCCTCCCAGTATTCCTGTAGATTCTGATAAACCACACACATCCAATAATAACGAACCACACACAATTATGTGTCACACCAAACAATAAGTATCCTCAATAGCCGTTGAACCCAAGTTTCCAAGTTCCAAAACGAAATACGAGCGCATAACAAAGAGCCGAAGCTGAGTCTAAGAGTACATAAGGGTGAAAAGAAGACTGGGACAACCAACAACCAAAACTAGAACTAGAGCAAATGAAGTTTGTTTAACTTCTAAGCGCCACTACTCATCTCTCTCTCTTTCTAGCACTTGATCTCCTTCAAGGCGTGGGGGAGGTACAAAAATGTAGGGTCGGCAGCACAGTCCTTGTAGTAAGCAAATACCAAGGTGGCATCATCCTTCATGCTCTCCCCGACGAAACTGTAATGTACAACCAAGTTTGTTAACAGACATTTAATGATGAGGGATAACGATCCATCCCAGGTTAATGAAGCGGGGAGAAGACTTACAATTGGAGGTCACTGAGCTTAGAGAGGAGGAACTTAGTTGCTGGCTCAATGGTTTTCTTAAACTGCACCTGGGCCTCCCCTTCCAAGAGAGGGGTCAAGACCTTGATGTACCTCTTCATGTAGGTAACAAACTGCTTCTTGTCGAAAGCGGGTTGCTCCTGCAAACATTATACACACGGGTATTTCAGATTCCAATTCATCATGGCTAGGGTTCTAAACCGTTTAGAAAGAGGAGAAAGCGCCCCACCTGAAGTCTGAAGGTGTCGACAATATCAACAACCTTAACAGCCTGGTCATCAACACCCTCATCGTCACCACCTCCTTCAGCAGAAGGGTTCGCACCAATGTCGACATCGACTGCGCCTTGAATAACCCACTATAAACAAGAATAAAGAACCAAACTTGGACAAATTATTAGACCATTCAACACATCAAGTACCAAGCCTCCCTGCAAAACCGAGATCAAACGAATACCAACCTTTCCATCAACTTCCCACAAAGCTCCATCCAAAAACTCCTTGTAGGGGAATGAGTCAGAGAGAAGCTCATCACCTGTTCATCAGAAAGCACCAATTGCATTAACATCTCACCAATTCAAATGGCAGAAACAGCTACAGAATGATAACTCAGTTATCCAAACAACAATTGCAGATTAAAAATTCACCATCTACCAAGCTTTGCACTTACAGTTTAACCCATTAACAAGGCAGACCTCATGATTCCATGAAAACCAAGTATAAGAACAACATCATTCCAGAGATTACAACTATATACATAACCATAAATTGGAGACAAATAAAGAGGAGATATCAAATCAAAAGTCAGTGGCAGCCGCCGATCTCGCACTACAAACAGAATTAAGAATCACAGATCCACAACGTGAGATTTCAACCTGAACTAATTCGAGCACCGTGGATCCAGCGTGGAAATTCGATATAAACCCTAACAGATCAGAAACTAGAAATCCCGACTCCCGTCGCCGATTGGAAACAGATACATAGAGAATCGAGAGAGAAAAAAAAAAATAGATTCAAGGAGACTAAGCTTACCGGTGACGAGGTCTTGATAGACCAACATGATTGTGCTGCTGCAGAGGCTTCGCTCTCGATTGGATTGAAAGACGGAATGAGCAGAAGCCGCTGCAAGCAAAAAAACCAGAGAGCGAAAGAGGGATTGTGGCTGGCGGACAGCAGGCTATATAAAGCGAGGGTTTTTGGCGTTGTTGGAAATTTACATTATTAGTCCTTTTCCTTTTCGGGAATAACCAGGAAGTCCTTGTCTTTGTTGAACTCGAATACGGGCCGGCACGTGCGAACTAGGGAAAAGTAGCTCTCGGTGGAGCGTGTGGGGACTGGGGAATTTGTTCGTTTTTCCTTGTTTTTTTGGTACGGGATAAATTGAAAATAGTAATAAGGTGCTCTTTCGAATATCCGCTTGTAGAATTAATTATAATAATTCCCCGTTAGTTTACTGTTTAATTCTTTATTTATATATCTCACAAATTAATGTAATTTCTGTCAATTTATTACTGAGTGAGGTTTATAATCGTTTTATACTTAGAGTTAGGGACGGAGCTATAGCTGGTCTAGTGGGCTTCCAACCATTTAAAATGGTGTTCAAAATTTCGTATAAACTAGAGCTAAACTACACAAATGTAACAAGAAAATTAAGTTAGTCTGAAGTTGAAGATTTTCCTATAAGTCAGGTCTTCAATATTTTGAAGGTGACACTTTGATAATTGGTCATTTACCTTACCTTTTTAAAATTCTATTATATTTTTTTTAATATGGCTATAGCCGAACAATTACTCATTTATCTTACATATTATGGTTTTTTAAATTCTTTAATACAATATATATATATAATTTTTCATTTTAATATAATTGAATAATTATTCATTTAGCTTTTATATTATGATGTTCAAAGTCTTTTAATTTCAAATTAGATTAACTAATAACTTGTATATTTTGTTATCTGGAGTCATTTAATCTAAAACCAGATCAATTTAGTTCTTTAACTTACAATATTCTAAGAATACATTTTTGGCATATAATGGATTTTTTTTTAATACTGATAAAAGTAGACATTGATGTCTCAATTTGGAAAATAGAATAGACACAACATTGACATGCATTTTGTTTGTTTCTTTTATGATTTATATTGAATATGTCATGGAAGAAAATTTTAGTTTAGATCTCGTATTGAGTAAAAATAGGATGTGTTACAAGACATTCATTTTGCAATCTTAAAAATAGAATGTGCTACACAACATTAAAGGGTTGTTTGGAAGTTGTGATTCTTTAAATTGATAAATTCTATCAATATGTGCATTCTAAATTGATGTTTTGTTTGAATGGTTGTATTTGAAAAATCACTTGTTTGAAGGTCTAGATTGTGCTTTTCACGTATGTAAAAAAGTAATATACTTTTTCGGTTTAAGGACATATTTGCTCTTCATTAACTCATTTCTCCAAGGAGAGAGGAGCAACGGATGAGGCTAATGTTGGAAAAAACACAAAAAAAAATTTGAATGGACAAAAGTGGAATAAAGATAGACATACAATCATTCATTTACAATCTCAACTTTAACTAAAGATTGTCAATCCTTCATTTTGACGGATTAGAGGTGGGCCCTTAAAAAGTAAATACATATATTGTAACTCAATTTAAACCAAAAAAACTATTAAATCTTCACTTTACATGTATTAGCTAAATACACCACTCCAAATCACAACCTCCAAATTACCCCTAAGATACACTATTAATTTTTTATCAAGTTTCTAATTTATATTGAACCTGGCATCATAAAATTTGTAACAAATTTAACACTTTACAAAAAGTGTGGTTATCCAAATATTAAAAACAAATATCCTTTTTATTATTTTGGTTACTTATATCCCTTTTGAGGGCACCCGAATGCTATCCGGACTCCCTCTTTTTTTTACAATCAAATTGGTTTTTTTTTTTACTGGGAACATGTGAATTTTATTACTCAAAGGTTAGAGCAACATCATCTAGTTTTAGCTGATCAACAATAAAAACTGGAGGTCTTGAAATATGAGCTAATGCATTTGCTTCCCTCTTGAAATACTTGAAGCAACCCCCTCCGAGATCCATCATCATCCGCTTGATATTCCTTATCACAACTCTAGTTTCAGTTTCAATCTGGTTCTGGTTGTTCATCTTTTGTACCAAGGATAGGCAATCAATCTCTAAGATCGGATGTGCGACCCGCATAGAAGTCGCTAATTGCATCCCCATCTCTACTGCTCTTGCCTCTGCATCCTCTAGTTCCCATTGTCCCCGAATACATTTTGCAGCCGCCAAAATGAACCGACCATCACTGTTGCGTACCACCACTCTCATACCCACTCCACCACCAGGAAAGATTGCAACATCTTTTGTCACATTATGGTGTCCCAACACAGGTCGCTCCCAGCTCGCAGGATTCGAAGTAATGATGGGATCTCCTCTACCTCTTGGTGTTGTTTATAGTCTTTCAAAAAGCAATCTTAGTCTCATCAAGTTTGACCCTGTTAAACATGTGCGCATTGCGCTCTTTCATAAAAACCATAACAATACGACTCATTCCTCTAGCATAAAATCATCCATGACCACAACTAGCCACTCGTAGCAACCACCCTGGGGACGCAACTCAAAGCACGATTTAGCATGTGAATCTCACAATATCCTGATGCTCCAGGCACATTCCCCAAATCGGTATACTTGTGTCTCCCGTAAATCGTAATAAGGGCATTTATCTCATCTCATACTTTTGGTGCTGATATGATCGCCCGTGGGTAACAGATCCCGCACAAACCTCCACAAGAATTGCTTGACTTTAGGCTGGACTTTTAAGCCCCATAATCTTCTCCAAACCTTGGCTTCACCATGAGGTAAAAGACCTTCATCCGCCCTATAAAGTTGATACCACAGAGCATAGCCATCCTTCACTATATAGATCCCATAATTATTAGTATTCCATATGAGTTTATCTTTTTCTCCATGTCTATTGGACCGCCTCCTCCATGTATGCACTCAAGCAACACACCAACATATTCACATCCCAACTTCCCGTTTCTTCATCAATCAATTCACACACGAGGGCATCTACCGACAGGCCAACAGGAGGAGAAGAAATGCAGCAGTTAGGAGAAGATGGCACCCATCTATCACCCCAGATTCTAACTATTCTGCCATCACCAACTCGCCACCGTAGCCCACTACAGAGAAGTTCTTGGGCCGACAACAAGCTTCGCTAAAGAAAGCTTGGATTATAACCAACTGTAGCATCAAGAATGGACGTTCTCTTGTGGTATTTCGCCTTGAGGATCTAAGCAATGAGAGTCCCCGGTCGTTGTAACAAGTTCCATACCTGTTTGGCTAGTAACGACTTGTTAAAACCCCTAAGGTCCCGAAAGCCAAGCCCTCCATCCTCCTTAGGAATCGTTAACTCCTCTCACCTCACCCAATGTGCTCGTCTTTCAGTTCCTCTTTGTTTCCACCAAAAGTTGGTAATAAGGCTGTGGACTTCGTCGATGACTCAATCCGGAACTTTAAATACTGTCATGGCATAGGTGAGTTGAGATTGAGCTACCAATTTTATTAGCACCTCTCTGGCTGCTGCAGATAAAGTCTTTTCCTTTCAGCCTTTTAGCTTTTTCTTGATCCTTTCCAGTAACCCTGCAAACAGTTCCTTTTTTGACCGTCATGCCGTTGTAGCCAAACCAAGATACTTGTCATGCTTTTCAACAAGGGTCATCCCCAATATGCCACTGTTCACCAGCTTCATATGCGGCTATGTATTGTGACTGAAAGAGACTGCAGACTTTTGGAAATTAACTAATTGTCCCGACTCCTTCTCATAATCTTTCAGGATACGCTTTAGCTCAGTACTTTCTTGTTGGATAGCACGAGTGAAGAAGATACTATCATTTGCAAAAAACAAGTGAGAGATGTTTGGGGCCCCTGAGCTGGCTGGATCCCATATATTTTCTTTTCCTTTACTGCAAGTTCTGTGTATGCTGATAGTCCCTCACACAAAGAATAAAAAGATACGGTGATAGAGGGTCTCCCCACCGAAGTACCTTGGTCGGAGTTATTATCTGAGATTGATGGCCCAAATTGGGCTTTTATTAATGGATCATCGAGTCTTTATCTAAAGTAGACAAAATAATGGCGGGGGACTCTTTATACTATGCATTTTCTTATATACTCCTAGTAGTAGAAAATGTTTACATACTATAGAAAAATAATGGCTGAAAACTCTTTATTCCTCAACACGTCCATTTCCATTTTTTTATTTCTCAAAATTTCTTTGGCTTACTGTTTGGTAAATATGAGTCGTTGGATGACTTAATTTACCATCCAACGGACAAGAAACACGTAACTAGGTTGGCCATATCCTATTTGTTTTCCTTTTACTGCACAAGCAAGTCTTTAACTATTTCACCAACATGTTACACTGATATACCAAATTATGAAGTCCAAAATAGAATCACCATAATTATAAGGAGACAAGAGTCATACATTTATTCTTATATGATTTACTACCTTTTCTCTATTTCATTTTTTCCGTATTTATCGTTGAACATTTTATTCTATCATTGTATTTTTCGCATTTTATTCTTCAGTCGCGTGAGAACTGAAACTCAAATCTTACATTTTCGAATTCCCTCAACCGAACGATTAATTATAAGCTTCATGGATTCTTCTTCTCCCAACCGTGGCTCTTACGTTGCTGATTCAAATTCTCGCATTAGGAGGTGCTTGATCTGTGGGGATATCATCTCACCCATGATGCGTCCTTGTGTCACCTATTCTTGCTCTCACGTGTTTCATATAGGTAACGCTTTCCATCGTTTGTTTTTTAGTCACCTATTCTTCTCAGTATTATTCTTATTTGTTCGATGTCTCCCGTATTATCGTACATATAAACAATACGTATAACACATTCAACATTTCGTACTAATAAACTAACTTTTCTATTGTCAGAATATTTGATAGTTTAATAATCACCAATACCTTTTATGATTATCTAGATTTTTTTTTTAAATTAAGATTAATTTCAGACATTCAAAAGGAATATTAATATAAAATAACTTGTGATGTTCATATGTATTATACGCAGTGGCGGATCTAGGAATTTTACATAGGGGTGTCCTCTCCCAAAAATTTAATTTAATTAAATAATTATTAAATATGAAAATATCTAAATAATAAAGGTTACATTAAAAAGCTCATACGTGTTTCGTAAAATGGTAAAATACATCCGGTGTCTATACTGCTCAACAAATATCTCTCGACATATCCTATTAGACAAGGGTATCCGGTAATTGGGTTCATTGCTAAGTTTCGAAAAATAAAATTAGCATTTTACTATTATATTTGGATCTAAAACACAATGACAAATGAGTTATAGTGTAATTGAAAATAGGTTTACTAATAAAGGCAGTGTCCCAAATTTAAATCACATAGACTATTACTTAAATATTATTTGTACCAATACGCAAACTACTACGGGAAGTCGGATAAGCATTTTCTCAAATTTTAAGGATGTCCCACTACCATTTAAATATTTTTGTGCTTATACGCAAACTACTATCGATGGTTGAATAATCGTGTTTCCAAATTTTAGGGGTGTCCCAGGACACCCCTAAACATGCATGTATCCGCCACTGATTATACGTGCCCATTTATGGTGTCATCTCTCTTTTCACCAAATTAATCGTTATTTTGATCCTTCGATTATCCCAAAACGATATGAATCTTCAACCATATAATAATGAAAAACGCGTATTTAAATGAAAATTATTCATAGTTTGCTTGTATTTTAATTTTTTTTTAACCTTGCTCAATATAACTTCAGAAACTCATTTAACGATCATTATGTTAAAAAAAAAATATGACTGAAAATGCACCGATTAGAGTACAACTAACGACTCAAAATCTCGAGATGTGAAATCTTTAATTGATCATATTGAGACCAGAGAAAGGATTGGTACATTTTATATTTTTTCCTCGATGGACCATGTCTCAGATTGTGCCGAGTCGATCACCTTTCACTCCCCAAGGCGGACCATCATCTGCCCGCTCTGCCGGTGCATCGACGCCGACACGTGGCGGCAGCTGGATACCGACGCCGGAACCACGTGGCTGCTGCTCGACGCCGACGGCAACTGTTTGCCGGCGAACCCACAAGACCTCAACATCACCGCTTTCATTCTCAATGCACGGCACGTCGTGGAGGCACGAAAGGACGGCTACCACTACAAATCGTGGTTCGATGCGAATGGAGCTCAGCTGTGCCGCATCCGCTAGTTGTAAGATTACAAGAACTTGTGCTGGTTGGTGATTGGTGGGTTTGAGAGTTGGGGATTGTTTGTGCTTTTTTGATTCAGCATGGATTTTTGGCACTGATGTTGAGCTGTTTGAATGCTGTTTTTGGACAATGTTGAAAAGTTTGATTATTATTCTTAGATGTGTTGTTCATGGTGGTTCTAATTGTTTTGGGTTGGGTTTTCGAACAATGTTTGTGATGGTGGTGGACTGGTGGTTTGTGTCATGTCGTGTCGCTGAAATGTATTTTTTTAATATATTACTTGTCGTTCGGTTATGTTCTATTTTGACAACTTTAAAGTGATTTTATTAGTTATTTTCGAGTTTAAGAAAGAAAAAGAAGAATCAAAAGAAGTTTTCACCTAATTTAGAATGGTCACAGTCTCACAGAGCATAGTTTGATATAATGATATTTGTGAGATGATAAGCCTATGTGTTAGTGTTTTGGTAAATGTAACTAGAATTGAGTACTCGAGGAGGTAACTCGAATGACTGAATGATATTATTTTAGATCTTAGACAAAAGGCTCTCTAAAGTCTTTGATTTTTGGCACTTCAGGCTAGGTAGTGTGTGATTTTCTTGCATCATGTGCTTCCTCTGAGTACATATCTAACCGGGCAAAGGGTGTTCTTTTTGTGTGTGTCTCATATTTTTTTGTAACATCTTAGATGAATGTCATATCAATTAAGCATAAGAGAAATTCAAGATTCATAAGTAAGAAACTGAATTTAACTGATAAGATGTTTTGGGGTGAATTTGATTAGTTTTTGTGAGAACTCCAAAGTTAAATACCGTCATTGTGGAGCAATACAAAAATGGATGACTTTATGGAAGTCACATTGACATGTATTCCGAGGCCAAAACCATGAGGGTATAAATCCAAAGCGGACAATATATTGTCGGGCAAAAGGTTTGGGATATTACAAGTGGTATCAGAACCTCTTACCTTTCCTCTTTAATTATGGTGGACAAACCTCAACGAGGACGTTGAGGCTGAAGGGAGGTACGTAACACCTTAGGCGAATACCGCATCGACAAAGTACGTGAGAAATTCATGATTCATAAGTAAGAAACCGATCTTAGCTAACAAGACACTTTTTAGGATGAAATGAAAGAGTTCTTGTGAAAACTCAAAAATTAAACTTGCTCGGAACAATACAAGGATGAGTGATTTTATAAGAAGTCACCTAGACAGACTAGACAGTAACTAAATTTAATTCCAATTAATTAAATAAGATTTAGAAACGATCAATATTCTTTTATTTTTTATCACACTCTCGTACCTGCTTGGACTGTTTGACCACGAGAGGGAGAGAGGCATTTGAGATTTTGGGATCGGGACGACACGACGCCGTGCGCTGAGACAGCAAAAAGCTTCAAAGGTCAGTCGCCTTGGCGGCGGCGGCCGGCGGTGGAGATAGAGAGGTAGAAGGATGGAAGATCTAAGCGAAGAAGAAAGAAAGGCTCTGAGAGGAAGCAAATTCGCGCCTCTCCCCCCTCCTCCTTCCCGCTCTAACCAGTCCAGGTTTGAATTTTCGAACTTTTCCCTTGTTCTTCTTCTTCTTCGAGCTCTCAAAGACTAGGGTTTCTCATATCTGATCGCCGATTGCGCATTTTGGTGTCGTTGACAGGTTAGCGCACCCCGGGGGGCCGTTGAAGACGAACAAAGCCGCGGCGCTCGCCAAGTTCTTGGAGAGAAAGCTTCAGGAGCCTAATGGCTTGGCTTCCATTGATCCCGACCTCGTTGAAATGGCAGTCAAGAATGCCAAAAGTACCGTTTCTTCCGGTAAGTTCCCCTTTTGTCTCTGTCGGTTTGATTCTGTTATTCTGATGATTCGAGTTGGAGATCCGTGTTTTCTAGAGCAACAGGAGTTGGAAATTGATTGGAAATAATAGACAGTATGGGATATAGGACTGCATCAATCTAATCTATGTTGGAATTGGCATCAGCTTGGGTTTAGTAATGGGGCTTGGGTTGGGGTTCTTGAGTGATAGAAATGAACATGGTGACTCTGGTTCAGTAGATGAAAGATGATCAATGGTGGAATCTGTTGTTCGGAAACAACTGATATGTCAATTGGAGGGATTTATAACTTGGTTTTGTTGCCCTAAGAGCTTTTTTTTCACTAATGGCGGTTTACTGTGGAAGACACAGACGATTTGAATGCCTTACCTCTCTGTTAGAAGGCAAAAAATGATGAATTGGAGGGATGGTATAACTTGATTTGCTCCCTAAGTACTCACTCATGTCTCGTGTGGCATTTTCATCGTCAACAGCGCGATTTTGTATGAAAGAAAGGCACACTCTGATTTGAAATCCCTACCTTCTCTTCTCGTATCTGTGTGTGTATCAGCTGGAGCTTCGACCTCTGGCAGAGTTGTTCGTCATGTGAGCTCCTTCGGTGACTCTGTGGTAAGTAATGGATCGATGTTCTTTATTCCATTCGCCAACTTTCCAAGTTTCTGTCTTTCAGAACCCTTGGCAGGAAGGAACCTGGCTTCTGTTTTGAGTCTGTTTCTAATGGTGCGTCGCTGAAACGTTATCTTCCAGGAGGACTCCAGCCAGGAAGGAGATGCTGGGAAAAAGAAGAAACGAAAGCGAAACAAGGAAAAGAAGAAGAAGAAGGGCGCGAAGAATGTAAACCAGGTTGGCTAATCGTCCTAGCGCAGTGTTGTGGAGAGAATAATGTTTTCTTCACCGAAGATGTTCCTAATATGCGTGGCATGAATCTTGCAGGGATCATTTGGAGAAGGGGGCGGAGAGGGAAGTAATTTGCAGAACAAAGGGAAGAAGGAAAAGAAGAAGAAAAAGAAGCAGAAGAACTAGAAAGGGATGCCACTTCAATGCAATGGCCGCTTTTGTTTTCACTTTTGTTTGCAGAAGAGATGCTCATACGAAGCTCTTCTTTCCCCTGCCAAAATTTTGAGGTAATTTGGTTCGCCTTCTATGTTCAACCGAAGAGTTGAGTTTCTAATGACAAAAATTATCCAAGGCATTTGGTGCTTGTGTTGAGGTTGATTAGTTAGATGAACTGAACTTGTATGTCAATTAGATTAGTTTGCAAAATAGTTTGTTGGTCTTGAAGCTGAAGGGAAGAGTGTGCACACTGATAAACTATACCTAAATACTTTACACATATGGCTATTATCTGACCGAAGTATAGGGATGACTATTAAACCCGCGATCGTGGATTTAGATCTTCCCCGTCCTGGAAATCCTCGTATTGATTGGGTGTGGGTAAATCAGTAAAGTGTTTGATGGAGATGGAACGGGTATAGTTTTAGACTTCCCACCCTCAACTCCGCCTCCACCCCATACGAGTTCTCGCACCTATCTCATAAAGAGGTAGTTCTTCATATACAAAATATATATCGCCGATATTGTAATCTATCGAGTAATTCAATAAATAATAAATAAATAGTTGAGATGTACCAATCTCATAAAGAGTAGTTCTTCGTATACAAAATATATATTGATCATATTGCAAAATATCGAGTAATTCAATAAATAATAAATAAATAAATGAGATGTAATTGAGTAGCTACCAAGCCAAACCCTAATTTCCTTTCCTCAATTCGTCCTTCACTCTTCAAAAAACAAAATCCAATAACAAAAGCACAAAAATGCTCAAAAAACACAAAACCCTACAAGATTCCGACACAAAAATGTAGAAGATCCAACAACTTAACCAAACAAATGATGGATTATCCATCAACACTACTTGGTTACCTCCGATTTACTGGAAACCTCCTCCTCCTCCTCCTCCGGCTTAGCTCTCATAATCTCCAATCTTTCCAGATACCCCAACAGGTATCTGCTCTCTGCATTTTCTCTCAACTCTGCTTTCTCATGATACTCCATCCCCAAGATGGTGTGATCTAGCCTCTCCCCAAATATTCTCGACAGCGGAAGCTGCCACTGTGTATTATCCAAGTCCACCACCTCCCTGACCTTGTCGTCCATCTTCGAGAGCAAGTCGTCTTCGAAGAACTCGGAATAGCTTCTGAAGAAGGCGTCTCTGCTGCTTATGATTCTCCAATTGTTATCAATGTCTCCAGTGAACTCTGTATCCTTGGGATCTCTCGACCACAGTTCCAACCCGTCACTGAAATGCCCAGACAACCTCATCCGCAGAATCATTTTCCTGATCGAGAAGAGCACATCATCGTTCTGTTTCTTCTGCTTGTCGTCGCCCTGTTTCGATGATGCCGAGAAATCTGAATGAGGGGGGATAAAGCCTTATCGACTACTCTATTTCCTGAATTTGTACGAATTTTGCTGTGTAAAATTTACCTGTTGTGTTTCAAAGTACTTGTTCTTCAATTGCTGTATCTCATCGAACCACTCTCCGTAGTATTTCTCCTCCCATGTGTCGATTTCGTGCACGGCCATCTTGAGATCCGATTCAGGGCAATCTTCATCGCACTCACCCAACAGCTCCTTGAGGCACTCGGCGTCGGTTTTGATTTTGTCGCCGCCGTCGCCGTAACCGTACTTCCTCGAGGCGATCAAACTCTGCAATCTGATACGAATAAACCATTCCTTCATGATGCGGGCGAGCATGAATTGTTCTCCTTTCAAGTACCTCTTCATCATTGCTACCAAGTCTCCGTCGCTGACAACAGCGTCTTTTTTGTCTACTACTTTGCACGCCGCCGATGACGAGGCGGAGTGGAGTCTGGTGAGCAACGAGGGAGATGCGGAAGAAGGTTTAGGAGATTGGGTGGTCGCTGCTAATCCGACGTTGCGAGACGAAGCGAGGAGGAGGAGACTGTTGGGATTTTTAGTGGTGTGAATGGAAATAAAAGAGGAAAAGTTTCAAGAGAGTCTCTTGAAGTACCAATTTAGGGATGGCAATGGGTCGGGTTGGGTCGGGTTTTGCCAAACCCAAACCCAAACCCATGGATTTATCTTTGAAAAAAACCCGGGGTAAAACCCACTGGGTTTGAAAAACTCAAACCCAACCCAACCCGTTGGGTATCCGCGGGTTCATGGGTACCCACGGGTTTTGTCGTAAAAAATTTACAATTACAAGTTCTTATCAAAATTAAAGTCAAATATCAATCTCTCAATACAAATTATCCATATATAAAACACCATTCTAGAAAATTCAAGCAAATCACAAATTAACTATACAAATTGTTTAACCATAAAAAAAAATGAAGCAAATCACAAATTTTCCATAAATAACATGTTTAATTGAAAGCTTCTTCCTTTCAATTAAGTTACTTTACTCTCCACTCCATAACATCAACTTCATTCTACACAATTAAAAAGAAAAAATTAGACATGTCTCCACAAACATAAATAAGATTAGTTGTTGAGATTATTAAATATACCGAAAAAATTAATTATATGGGTGGGCGGGTACCCACGGGCCGGGTTTACCTAAACCCAAACCCAAACCCAACCCAACCCGTTGAATAGTGAACGGGTTTAAACCCAAACCCGGCCCAAAACCCGTCAACACGGATTTTACCCGCGTTGACCGGGTTGGGTCGGGTGGGTACCCGTGGGTTCGGGTTTTGTTGCCATCCCTAAGTACGCACCCCTTCATTTTCTATAAATAGCACCTAACCCCCTCTAATTTTTACGATAAGAAACATCGATTTTTCCGGTACCAAAATTCTGCCAAATCCAAAAGCTAGAATTCTGCATTCTTTTCAAAGAGAAAATCGTGTCAAGTGTGGTTCTCGCCGATTCGCTGCGTTCGATGGTTTCCGGGGTTTGAGGTACCGCTACACCGGAAAAGGTACGTCCTTTCTATCCTGGGAGGAATCATTCCATAACCTTGGGTACTTGAGGGGAATAAGATTCTTTAAGGAGAGATAGTGAATTCTATCGGCTAGGACGCTTGCATGTATCTTTGCATGTTTTCTTAATCTTATGTGTTTGCTTGTATTGCAAGAAAATAGTATACGTGAACAATTTCTCCAACAATCTTAAAGAATCTTATATTTAGTATATTCACGCATACTGAATTTTTCTTGATCGACATTAAGTTGTCATTCGTTGTTAATCTATGTATTTGCCATTGGAAAATAGCGTTTCATGCATGCGGTACGGTGTAAGTGTTCTATATCGGGTCATTAAAATATCCGGGCATGATGTTGTGTGTTAATTGGTCTCCATGCGTCCATCTGGAATTTGATTTATAATTGATGATGAAGTTTTAGTTGGAACACTTGGTTCCTTCTACCAAAAGATTTGTACATGGTGGGTAGGTCTAATGCCATGCGGTACTGGTGATTTGCCTTGACGTCAATCTGGAAGTGCATTTGATAGTGTCACGAAATTATCTTGCCAATTGTACATGTTCTTTGCCTGTTAATGTGGAAATGAATGTTCGGTTACTGTATGTATACGTATAATTATATGTTTCTCTATATATATATATATGCTTGTTCTGCTTCTGCCGATTGCAAAGGAAAGGAAGAAAAGGAGACAGTAATGGCGATTGGACAGGAAGAGTTGTATTATTTCATAATGCAATACTTTGTTGGTTCTCGGAGAGGAACGAAAGGAAGAAGAATGTTTTTTTTTTTCTCTCCCTCTACTAGTTGCTTCCGGAAGGATAAGAGGGCATTTTGGCAAATCCTTTGAAATCGGTAACACTCTGTTACTCTCTTAACTCTAGATGTGAGAGTGGATAATATATATGGTTTATATATATTTGCTGGTTCATGTCTGTCATTTGAAAGGGATGGCATTGAGTGCCTTGTGAATGGTGTTGGTAGTGCAATGGCTCGATGTAGCCATGCCATGTGGATATGGTAATTGAGTTGTCAAATGGATATGATCACCAATCACCATGCATCTGCATTGCGTGCTACGTGTGATAATGGAAAAAGATGAAGAAGAAAAATCTTCTATATGAATTGTTAAGGTATCGCTATGTACATTGGTGGAGAGCATCCAACCAATTATTGGACTCTAGATGGAATACCCATCTATGATTGGTACTCAATGGGTCCCAATGTGGATGATTTGGGCACCCATTTGGCCTCGATGGAGAGTATGGGGGAAGAAGAGGAAGTTGAGGAATCGGAAAACTAGGAGGAGTACTCTGACATAGCGACCGATGAATGCCTCTGATTCTGACTTCGACCCCAAGAATCCTTAGGATTCTTGTATATGTATTGTAATCTCCTTTGAGGAGTAGAAATATGTATGTTTGTGTATATACATATGGTATTAGTATGGTGTACCTATGTAATTCGTGTATTTACATGATAAATAAAGGACAAATGTTCTTATCTCCCAAGTGGAAAATTAGTTGGATAAAACCTTACGAGTCTGTTTGGTTCCAAAATTAACCACAAAGTTTTAATGCTTTTATTGCATTGGTCCATCTCAATTATGTGGCATGGATGAATGATAAATGTGCCAATTTAATTTGGACACTTTTTCATTCAAAGTGATGCATGAGACTTGAGAAGATGGAAGTACTTATGATAGTCATTCATGGACTCTAAGTAATGGTGGTTTGGATAGTAGCAAACCATCTAGTGGGAAAATATGAACAACCATAGGTGTGTAAAACCTATGGCGCGAGGCTAGTGGAGACTTGTGAATCAAGTCTATCTAAGCCGGATGGGTTGCAAACGTAATGTTCATAGTATGTTGGACATAGTTTGAAAGAGTATACCTCCAATCTGTTAGAGATGAAATTTGGTTAATGCACGTTTAAGGATTGCATTACGAGAAAGCTATAAGCGATAAGGAATTCTAGTTCCTATGATAGTTGTGAAGATATGATAATTTATTTATCATGTATGTGGTTTAGGACTTGATGTTTCCTATGCCATGAGGGCAAGGAAGATGAAGCTATGATTGATCCTTATAGGGATTTAATAAACTTGCCAAATGATGGTCGAAATCAAGATAAACATTAGGTCAAAATTGTTTATGGTATAAGTACACTATACCATTGGAAAATAATTTGACTATGATTATCAACGTGGAGCTAATTGTCAGAAATTTTTTATGGTATATATAGATGTATATCATTGGAAAACAATTTGGAATGAGAGCTCAATTGAGATGATCTTATTGAACTTAAAGTCTGGATTACTTATGGTATATTTATGAAGTTTATACCATTGGAAAGTAATTAGACAATTGAATTAGAAATTCGTTTGAATTACTTGTGGTATATCAAATATCATGTTACATAGATGAAATGTCATTGGTAAGTAATTAGATGGGATTTCCATTACTGGAATGCATTTGAATTACTTATGACGTCTCAAGTTGCCTTGATCTATACCATTGGTATGTAATTAGATGATATTTCTAATAAAATCTGAATTGTTTGTGGTATGCTAATCGATTGAGATCATACCATTGGTAAACAATTAGATACATATAGTGGTTGGCAAGTTCAATAAGTAAAACCATGGAAAATAAATGAGATTATTCCATGATGTTTGGCAAAGGGTAGAATTGTGGGGGAGAAGAGCTAGCCATTGTTTCGGCGACTATCTCAAGACCCTACAATGGGACGCAAACATATCCATAAGACAAAAAGTGAAAAGGTAAGCGAAGTCATATTTGAAAGTATGAAGGTGTCCAATGAGAAAGTGAGAGTCCTTAAACCTTGTGGAGTTAACCCAGTCCAAGGGTAGAACTTATGAGTAAACTTTAGCATATATTGACGTTATGTCAGAGAGCTAGAATATTTATTGATGTTGATCCACTCTTCCCAAAAAGATGATTTTGACCATATACATGAATGTATATCAACAACATTCCCCAAACCGGAAACGTTGGTTTCAACAACTATGATGAAATAGTTGAAATGTGGGGGATAGATTGGGGAGAAGTAATGTGGAATGTCGCTTGGGTGATTCTAAAGTGAAAGTGATACTTAGAAGTTGACATGTGTTATGATTATTGCAAGGCAATAAAATCAAGTCAAGATCACAAGATGTGTAGTGAATTGAAAAAAGACGAGTCTTTGGTGTATTGTACCCAAAGTGAACTCACCAGATGAACCAGAAGGCAATCTATTGATGGATGTGGATTTATGGTTGATGGGGAGCAGTACCTTGGAAAACATCCAAGTTGACTAAATATATACCCACTCTAAGACCGGTGAAGTTTAATAGTCTGGCCCGCATAGACTGGCGTTAATAAAACGCACTTGTGCACAAAGTTGTTATTACAAGGGCTAGAAGTGTTATGTGAAAATCTCGTCGTAGATAATGTAAAGATAACACTATTTTAAGGTCAATTTCTAGTGAAGTTATCGGAGTTGATCATTTAGATCAAGTGATAACAAACGTGGGGCCCACCTAGAAATTTGTTAAAGCATCGAAGGGAATGGACTCGTGGCCTAGGACAAATCATCATGGCGGTAACTCTACCTAAGCAGGATTGGCAGACCCAACCTCTAGGTTCAACGAGAAAACAAAGTTGTGAATGATGGTCCGACATTGTCAACTTATTCAAAGTCCATTCTCATGATGAGACAATGTCCAACTATAAGGGTAAACCTAAAGATGGAAGGTTTTTAATGGTTTCTAAGTTTGACACAGGATGTGATCAAATAGTGTATTTTCGGAATGCATGTTTAGAAATCACCTATGTGAGTGTGAAGTGGAGCCGCTTCAAGGAGAATAAAAGAAGGCCAGATCTCTAAGCACTCATGAGACCAGGCGGTGTTCATGGCTAAAACGAACACAACAATGAGAACCAGTGAACGGATAAGAGTTAGTTGTGTGACATATGTTGTCTTAGTATACAAGCAAAATCGACGGTTCAAAGATATCACATCTACCGATTGGTGAGTATAC